ATAACTAATATTAGATTTGCTTTCTATCAGTTCTCTCTTCAGCAAACCAGAGTAAGAAGACTCTCCCATGGAGAAACAAACACAATCATGTATTTTACATGCTGCAGAGAAGGGATATTACCTAACTGAGGGATGTCCATTTCTACACCATCACTGAAGAGTGGTGTTTTCATCCAATATGCAGTGTCCTGTTCCTCTGGAGACACAGGGGAGCCCTGAAGCATGCCACCAAGACAACGCCCAATAAGGAGAGCAATTGTTCTTTCCAAATCCACAAGCCATACCCAGGACTGGGCTGGCTGAGGTAAAGGCAGCCCAGCAGGATCCACTAGTTCAGGCCCTCCTAGAGAGAAAATCATTTGTAATTATATCTCTATTTGGTATGTGAAGATTCTCAAACTTTTTTATTTCTGTGGCACTGCAAAAAAATGCTGAAGCAAGATAATTTTATTAAAACACAAATTATAACATTTTATGTATTTTGTCTACTGGGCTAATTTAAAATAAATTCAAGTAAGTTATGCTACTAATTATTTCTTCTGTGAAGTTATTAATTTTAAGCTGAACATTCAAACAATGCCTAACAAAATTATCCCAAGAGATTCTATTCCTATTTTTCATTATGCAGGTCAAATTTTACCATAAGTATTTGTGCTAGCTGATCCCTGCAAAATCAACACAAGTATAATACTAAAATGACTGACTTTAATATTAGATCTTATACTAAGATCCAGATCCATGCTTTCCTGTTGAACATTTGTTTTTAAAAGTTTTTCACTTAAAAAACAATGTAACATTTAGCCATAAAGATAGCAATAGCTATCTATGAAATCATTAAAGAAAAGCAGAGAACATTAAACCCAAAAATAGGTTATTTGAAAAGATTGATTTAAAAAAAATCACTAATAAAAGTAATACAGAAAAAATGGACAATTTTAAAAGGAATAAAGAAGAGAACAGTACTACAGATATGGTAGGGAGTTTTTAAAACTATGAGTAAATTTTATTTCAAAATATTTGAAAGCCAAAAAGTGATATAATCTGGAAAAATAATTTCTAAAATGAATATGAAAAAAATAAGGAGAAAAAAATAACCATAAAATACTAAAGAAAGAAAATATCCCAAGCCTATCCATAAATAACGCCAAGGTGAAACAGTTTTATAAATAAACTTTTCTAAACCTTCAAAAAAGAGATACCCCCCCATCTTACACAAATTATTATAGAAAAAAAGTTAAGATTTCAAAGTAATGTGGTAGTAAAAACAATGCAAGGAGGTGAAATAGAAAAATCATGGAGAAGTATCAGTTATGAACACTGATGCAGGAATTCAAAATAAAACTTAACTAATACAAATATAGTGAATGTTCACAAGTTCTGAAATAAGTTTAGTAAAGAAAGTGTTAGGTTGTGGGAAAAGTCATGACTTTTTTTCTGTTTTTGTCGCAAAAATGTGTCATAACTTTTCCGACAACCCAACATAAACCTGGAATACCTCCACAAAAAATATAATTAACATTACAATTTAATTCCAAAAATATAACTAACATTCCAGTTGTACGCTTGGCTCTTGACCTTATCTAAATCCAGCTGCCACAAAACTGTACAATGTTAAAAGCCAGGGTCATTTGTTAAGTCCCAATCTTTTCAAAAGAAGAAACCAAGAAAGGCTTTAGGCAGTTAAAAGTAACTTGCCCAAATCATACAGTCAAGTTACTAACAGAGTCAAGACTGAAGTCTAGATCTTTTTATGCTTCAGAGTTGGATTCTTTCCAATTAAACAAATGGCCTCATTTAAACTTGAACCTTTAAGATTTCAGCAACAAAATTACTTTGATAGCCTACAACAGACATACTTCACCAGAAAATCACATTGATGTTTGTTCCAGACATATTTTAAGTTATATTCAAAAGGATAGGTTATCATCAATGTTTTATGAGTGAATTCAACTACCACAACAAAAATCACAATGCTACTTCCTATAAAGTATCTATAAAAATAAGAGGTATGTTCCTAATCTCCATCTTTTACATGCAGTTATCTATACACCCAACCAAAATATTTTCCTATAAAATAGAGATTAAAAGAAATATCTTTGTAGTTAATAAAGCTTTGTAATCAAATAATCCACTGATTGTAAAATGTGTCATTATCCTGGCAACCAGTTATATCCAATGCTTTCCTAACATCCTTTTAAGATGTATCCCAATTTTAATCGTGTCAAAATTTGAAGGAAAAAAACCTGTTTTAGGCCCTCCCTGGTGGCACAGAGGGTTAAAGCACAGCACTGAGAACCTAAAAGCCGCTTCAGCATGAGTTCAATTCCCGCCTGCCCGGGAGGTGACCACATGGAGTGGCAGACCTCTCCTGACCCACCCGCTGCTCCCCTCAGCAGTATACTTCATCGATCTGCCTGTTCTGTTCCCCACTCTGCCTCTGGTGAAGCCTCTCACCGCCCCTGAGCCTCTGGCTTGTACCCCAGTTCTGTATGCACAAATAAAAATAAATAAAAAATAAATAAATAAAATAAAAACTTAGGGCCCTCCCTAGTGGCACAGTAGGCTAAAATGCAGCACTGCAAGTTAGCCACAGCCCTTCAGTGCGAGTTCAAAACCACCTGGGAGGTGATCCACATGGTGCAGCAGACCTCTCCTGTCTCACCTGCTGCTCCCCTTAGCAGTGCACTTCATCAGTCGGCCTGTTCTGCTCCCAGCTCTGTCTCTGATAAATCATTCTCTTACCACCCCTGCACCTCTGGCCTGTACCTACATAAATAAATAAATCACCTCTGGCCTGTACCTGCATGAATAAATAAATCTTTAAAAAAAAAAAAAACCTGTCACAGTTAGTGAAATACATTATTCAAACTGTACATACATGACACATACATGAGCAACTTCCTTAGTTTTCCAACTCAGCTGTCCCCCTTTGTACTTCAAGCTCTTAATAATAACAACCTTTTTGACTACATAACACATGCTCACGTGTCAGATATAATTTACCTGATGCATCCAAGTGGAACAACTTTTCTCAAAAGCATTACTTACTCCTTTGCTATCTCTGCTTACCATGAAGAGGCCACTGTAACTCTTGATCTTCTAAAAGAGCAGCAGCTGGCAGGAGTCTATTAAGGCAATCAAGAGGAGGCAACAAGTCGAGGAGGTAACTCAATAAAGGTCGAGCCACTGACACAGGTAGTAACAGCAGGGAGTTGACAATCTGGCAGAGCATACTGCCTGCAGCTGACACATATATTACATCTATGAAGGATAAAAAATACAACATCAATAGTCTCAAATTAAAAAAAAAAAACCACCTAAGAAACATATTTTAACCTAGAACTAGATACACTAATTCAGTAACTCTTTGTTGAACACCTAGTTGGTAGCTAGTGCTATTTACTCTTTCAGAAAGTGCTACCAACATGTGGTGGAAAAGCATAAATATCCTCATGCCAATGAATTTTAAAAATTATAACTGAGTTTAGAATGTATTGTGAATTTCGCATTCACAAATTTATACTCATTTTAAGATTTACTCAAGAAATATTTACTGAGGCACTATTCTAGGAGAAAGGGATACAACCATGAAGAAAGAAGTAAAAATCCTGTCTTCATGGTTTTACAGTGTAGAGGAGGAAATCTTTTATGTTTTTTAAAGCAAATTTACTTTTCTTTAAGGTCATCTCAAATCACCACCTATTTGCTTTCTATATTGGTTTTAAATCAAATTTGTTTCATTATTTCACTGTACTTAGGGACAGGGAAGATCACTCAGAAATGAGCTCAGTTTTAACATACTACCTTTTATTTGCCTGTGGAACAATAACAAAAGGCAGTGGCTTTAAAGTTTCTCAGTTTATTTAGAAAGGTAACTTCAGGACCCTCCCTGGTGGCGCAGCAGGTTAAAGCACAGCACTGAGAAACTAAGGCCACTTCCACATGAGTTCAATTCCCACCTGCCCCGGGGGGAACCACATGGCATGGCAGACTTCTCCTGGCCCGCCCGCTGCTCCCCTCAGCAGTGTAGTTCATCAGTCTGCCTGTTCTGCTCCCCACTCTGTCTATGGTGAAACCTCTCGCTGCCCCTGAGCCTCTGGACTGTACCCCATTCTGTATGCACAAATAAATAAATATTTAAAAAAAAAATAAGAAAGGTAACTTCAGAAATAAGATGGTTTGTATAAGCCCAAACAATTTTAGTTGCTTTTGGGAAAGCCAAGAAAAGATATCCATAGGTAACTAGAGAAAGCCTCTCAGGCTCAGGAAAGGAGTTCTCAGCTAGATGCAAATCTGGAAGCCAACATTCTGAGAGAAAAGAAAATTGAGTGCTTAATTCAGAGGAACCTAAATGTACATAAAGATCATGTCCAAGGAAGAAATGCTTATAGGAACTGACTGAAAAAGAGTGGTTGAAAGAAACAGGAATAAAAACAAGATTGTTATTACAAAGAAACCCAGGGAAAAGAAACAAGAAAGAGGAACACTGGTAAATGCTGAAGAAAGGTTAAGAAATAGCAGAAAAAAATCTTACTTTAATGTTATAAGTTAACCTATTTGAGTATATACATCATCCAATGCTTTATATTAGGCCTGCGTCATACCAATGAGAATCTTTTCAGATTAATCACTGGTACCATCAACACAAACCAAGATCTAAGGGCTCTGTAATAGGAAGGAGAGTCAAAATCATTCCTCTTTCACTCAAAAATTTTAAGCCTTCTTAAGATTTTAGAATGGTTAAAGACTCTTGCTTTACAACCTACAATTAAATTTTAAATCCATACCAAACACACCTCTTAATTTTTCTCCAACGCTGCCATTCCAAGGACTTTCTTTGAGCAAATTTGCAGAACGTGAATAAATATCTGTGGCATGAGGCAATAAGAGCTGAAGATGTTTATGAAGCAATGCCACACTGCTTGAGTTCTGGGGGAAAAAAGTTCCTATATTACTACTATGAAAGATTTTAAGGTACAAAAATATCATGGCTTACCCAAATATCTAAGTTTCAAGGTACTTAACAGATCACTGTAAAAGGCAAAGAATCACATACCTCACTGATGTTATTGATATGGCAAAATGCCAGAAGCTGTTTCTGCAGGGAACACAGCAGTTCATGAAGATGAGCAGGCTGACTGTTCTCCGATGATGATGTTCCAAGTAGAAATTTATCACTATTTTTTTCCAGTTCTCCAAAGGCTTGATCCTAAAATGACACATAAATTAAGGTTGTATTTGAAGTGTTGGAAAATGGAAGTAATATCCTACTATAAAGTGAGTCTAATTTAAGAATTCATCTTTGTTCCCCTTCTGTTCAATCTTTAAACCATTGTTATGCTGTTCTTAACTATTAAATTTAAGATATAGCAAGCAATTTCAATTTGTTTTTCCATTAAAAATAACACATGCTTCACCAGACTTTGAAAATAAAGAAAAACAGCACAACGAGAATCAATGACAACTTAAACAGGGAAAGCTATCATGTTCACTGTCTTCTCTTTGACTGACTAGTCTATTCTAAGTAAGTATCAATAACATTACTCAATTATAAGGTTTTATCTGGTTCACCTTTTTTAAAATCTATTCTTTTACATTAACATCAGAAAAATCTGGTTAAATTCTAAAATAAATCTCTTTGGAATTATTAATTACAAGTCATTGGCACCCACAATATTCAGACAATATGACATGTTTTCCTCCTTGAGAGAGAAGTCTGGATTTTATTATTTTATAAGTATTTAAATTTCAAAATACCTTGACCTGAAGTAATCTCTACCCCTACCACACACTCCAAAAAAACCCAATCTTTATTATTTTTTTTACTACAAAGAACAACTTACTGTATAAAATCCTAAATTTCTTAAGAGTGTCTTCATCAAAATTTCAGCCAGATGAGTATCCGGATGGCAGCTCTGTGTGCCATAAGGCTGATCTGTCAGGCTTCCATAGCCAGTGCACACGGAAGAGAGGTCAGCAGCATCAGAAGGTGAGCTATAGCCAAGTAAGGAGGCTACATGGGTATGGTCTTGCAAACTTGTCAGAATGATATCTAGTTGCATTCTCTAAAGAAAAGCATTTCCATTGATGAAATAGAAACAAGTAAATAGTTAGCTTAAAATATACTGAAAAAGGAAAAAAGGAATCTGGGGGGATTCCTTATCGCTGATGCTGACTAATACACTTAATATCCTGATAAACAATGACCATTAAGGAGTATGTAATTAAAAGAAAAGCATCCCATAGTATCATTTGGGAAACTGTGTTTTATTCCATCCCTTACCCTAATACCCTAAAGGTCTAAATTAAAGTGACATTTTCTACATAATTCCTTGAGCATTGTAAGTGAAGAATATGGGGGAAGTACGAACAGATAAATTATACAATATATTCTTCTACAGAAATATATGGCAACTATTTATTCTAATGCTTAAAATAAAATACTAGAAACCTGAACTAAAGCAATATACTCATTGGAAAGCACCTGTGAATCTTAATATTGCCAGTAAGGACAATGCTATTAAGTGTCATTTTCCCCTCAAATCTGTACTCTATAATTGATTCTTCTACTTGGTTGAGCAAAATGTACTTATTTTAAAGTAAATACAATACTAAAAATGAAAAGAATAATCATATTCATATCATCAATACTTTTCCATAAGTTGTCTCCTTTTATTTTTTTATACAAATGATTTCAAAATTCTGAGAATGGAACCAATAGTAGCACACGCCTCTAAATATGAATGAGCACACTACAAATAAACTAGAAGATCACTGGTTTCAGTGTCACACTAGAAAAAATATTCATAATTTAACAATTAGTACCAAATCAAATAATAAATTATCACCTGCTTCACCCTCATTAGAAGTCTGGGATTCTCCATAGAACACACTGTGAGTGATCAACAGAACATACTGTGAGTGATCAACCATCATTAGATATATTCCGAGAATGGCAATAAATTAGCTTTACTTCCTTTTTAGTCTATTTGTATGTGTGTTTGCATGTGTGAGAGAGAATGACTGATTATTGGTTTACTTAGATACCATGAAAAGCTCACCTGTCCTTTAGATAAGCTTTCCCATCTATCAGGTCCTTGGGGTAAAAGAGAATGAAGCAATTCCATCCGTTCTCGCAATGGAGGTAACAGCATAGTTGCTCCCACTGAAAGAGTTTCAATTACTACCTAATATCAAAAAGAAAGGTGGATAAATTGACCTGGCTCTTATCTTTTAAATAGAAACATGTGGGGGAAAAAAATCTATAAACCATTAGCATCACAGAAGTCTAAAGAAGAGAGAATATGAAGAAAGAAAGCATCTAAGTCCTTCTTTAGTTATCTTTAAGAACAATGAATACACATGTTGGACTTGCCACTAAAGAGTTAATCAACATCCAACAAATATTTAGTGTTGGGTCTATGTGAAAGGAGTGACAGAGAAAATAAAAGGAAATGCAAACTTAAGCAAGCACAACACACAAGAAAGCAATTAACGTGCCCTCATATTTTCTGGGGCTCAGTACCTTTATTAATAAAATGAGGAGTTGGACTACATAATCTCTATCAGTGTTTTTTACTTCTAATACTCAATTTTTCTGTAATTGAGAATAATTACTGTAATTATTGAAATGTAAATACTTAATAATAAATATTTATTTAGAATAACACCTCCTTCAAAAATATTATCACAGACAACATAATTAAAAGTTGAAAATATCTTTAATGAGTTCCTCAGATTGCTGTAATCAAACTAAAAATAAACTATGGTAATTAAGCAGCAATTAAAGATTGAAAGCTAAATGTATATATTCCCTTTCCAAACCCGCACCAAGAAGGATAGTGATAAAAAGAAAACTATAAAAGGACACACAAAATGAAAAAAGAAAGAACAATATAAAAATTTTGAGCCAGAAAGCAAAAAAGAAGGGGTAACTGGCTAATAAGACTTAATGTTTACATATTAAGTCAAAAATGGGAAAAGTAAAAAATATATATTTTATTAATATTGCTTAATTGCTAATATTCCAGGACTCAGGAGTTTCAGAGAGAAAGAAAACACAGCTGAGAATGAAAAGAAATCAATATTCTTCAAGATAATTTATTAAAATAAGGCTAGACGTTTCCAAATTAAAAGGGTCTACCCAAGTATCCATCACAATAGATAAATCAGACCCATATTAAACCTTACCATTTTGAAATGTGAGAATACAAAGTAGAACTTGCTACAGAATCCAGACCCAAAAAAAAACCTTCCATGAAAAGAACTGAAGTAAGAAATGCATTAAATAATAATAATAATAACACAAAACGAGCAGACAATGATTTCATAATTCTTATGAGAAAAGTATTTCCAATTTAGGATTCCATGCTTCAACTAGTCATTAAAATATTCAATTCACAAAACATTTAAATATGCATATATTCTGAAAGATATCTATATCCTCCTTCAGAAACTATTATGAATACCATGTTAATCAAATGACCAAAGTAAAAATCACCAAGAAAAAGATACATCAATATCATGAACTAAGTGACATGATGAACTGAGGCTACATCATCATTTCTGTGGTAATCTTGTCTAAAATTCGTAACCAGCTAGTGTACTTTCTATTTCTATCAATTTGCCTACTCTGTATATTTCATATATGTTTTTTCATATAATATTTGGCCTTTCATTTAGCATAGTATTTTTAAGATTCAGCCATGATGTAGCATATATCAGCACATCAATTCCTTTTTATGGTTAAATAATACTACACTGTTTGGAAATTCATGTTTTGGTCATACATGTCTGTATGGGTCTGATTTATCTATTGTGATGGATACTTGGGTAGACCCTTTTAATTTGGAAACGTCTAGCCTTATTTTAATAAATTATCTTGAAGAATATTAATTTCTTTTCATTCTCAGCTGTGTTTTCTTTCTCTCTGAAACTCCTGAGTCCTGGAATATTAGTAAAGAGCTTCTGTACAGCAAAAGAGACATTTCAAAAAACAAACAGACATCCCACTGATTAGGAAAAAATTTTCCCACATGAAACTAACGATAAAGGATTGATCACAAAGATATACAAAGAACTGATGAAACTCAACAAAAATAAACCACCCTATCAAAAAATGGGCAGAAGAGCTAAAAAGACACTTCTCCAAAGAGGAAATGTAGATGGCCAACATGCATATGAAAAAATGTTCAACATCACTTGTAATAAGGGAGATGCAAATTAAAAACACAATGAGATACCACCTCACCCCAGTGAGAATGGCACATCTTCAAACAACTAGCAACAACAAATGTTGGCGAGGATGTGGAGAAAAAGGAACTCTCCTGCACTGCTAGTGGGAATGCAAACTAGTACAACCACTATGGAAAACTGTTTGGAGGTTCCTCAAACTGCTAAATATGGAGCTTCCCTAAGACCCAGCAATCCCACTCCTAGGTATCTACCCAAAAGACACAAAAACGCTGATTGAAAAAGATACCTGTACCCCCATGTTTATTGCTGCTTTATTTACAATTGAAAAAACATGGAAGCAGCCCAAATGCCCAAAAGTAGATACTGGATAAAAAAGATGTGGTACATATATACAATGGAATATTACTCAGCAACCAAAAAAGAGAAACACATGTCTTTTGCAGCAACTTGGATGGAGCTGGAAAAGATCATGCTTAGTGAGATAAGCCAGAAAGAGAAAGAAAAATACTGGATGGTTTCACTCATAGCAGGAGTATAATGGACCAGGTGAGAAAATAACAAGAATAATGAACAACCACATACAAGAGACATTTTAGGGGGGGGTGGAGTGGGGAATGAGATCAAAAACAGTGGGGAGAGGGAAGTGCACTGGACTATGGTGATGGCACATGGGTGATTAGGTGATGGGAAGCCCACGGGGATTAAAACTGAGATGGAAAAATGCACAAAATGATGTAAAAATAAACTATTATATTATTTTTTAAAAAATGAGTTAACCAAAATCAATTTATTCCCACTGAGAAAATAGAAGGGGAAGAATATTCAACTGAAGATTTTTAACATATAGTTAAACAGATGAGTTACAATCTCAGGGAAAGATGTGGCTTGACATACATATTCTACTCTTACATACTTACCTCCTGGATTTCATCTGGAACAGTAGAGTCCATCAGTCTAAAGAGCAAATTCCGAAGTGGGCCTGCTTGTCTCCCAAGAATGCTTGTAGCTACCCCTCCAGCAAGTGCAAGAGCAAGGTGATTTGAAAGCAGCTTCAGGCATAGCTTGAGGAAACTGTGGTGTTCCCTGAAGCCAAATAAGCCATTGTAAATTTTTGAAACATAAAACCATGTGCTTTTCAGTTAGGGTAACATTTTTTCTCTTCAAGAATATTATCAGATTGGGCCTCCCTCATCACTTTCACTACTATAGCCTGAGTTCTATCCCAGTCAGGGAGTTAACCCACATATGGTGCAACGTATCTCTAGTATCTCACCTGCTGCTTCCCTTAACAGTCTATTTCAGTAAATTCACCTGTTCTACTACCCACTCTGTCTCTGATGATTCTTCTCACCCTCCCACACCTCTGGCCTACACCCCAGTTCTTCTATGCAGTTAATAAACCTTTTAAAAAGAAAAAAAAAAAGAACAACTGTAGCTTGTTACTTTAAAAAAATTTTATGAAATTATGATAACAGTAATTTGTAAAATTAAATTCATGTAAGTATTTATAACTTTCCTAAAGGTTATCATTATGAATACCCATGTTTAGCTATTTTTTCATATTATAAGAATTTCATATAAATGATATAAATGGGAGGAGGGTAACTGAGCAAGAAAGAATAGTAAATCAGGACCCTCCCTGGTGGCACAGTGAGTTAAGGCACAGCACTAAGAAGCTAAAGCCGCTTCTGCATGAATTCGATCCTCAGCCCCGGAGGTGACCCACATGGTGTGGCAGACCTCTCCTCACCCACCCGCTGCTCCCCTCAGGAGTGTACTTCGTTGATCTGCCTGTACTGCTCCCCACTCTGTATCTGGTAAATCATCTCACCGCCCCATAACTCTGGCCTGTACCTCAGTTCTGTATGCATAAATAAATAAATCTTAAAAAAAAAAAACAGTAAATCAAAACTTAAAACAAGTAATTAATAGGCATGTGCACATGTGCACACTAACAAATACACATACATATAACATACCTTGATGAAGGGAAAGGAAGTGGGGGAATCTCACTATTTATTTTGTCACAGTATCTTTCAAGAAAAGAACGCAGATGTGAGAAGGTACTCTCTTCAAGATCAACGCAATAAGGTCGATGCCATGCAACAACTTGTCTAAAAAGAAGCAGAAGAAAATTTTGAAATAGCTGTAACAGTAATAACTTACATAATTATTAAAAATTAAAATTCATCAAAATTAAAATTTAATAAGCCAATAAAGTTCTATTTAAAACATTTTTAATTACTAAAGCTGAAAGATTTCAACAAGATACACTGAAGGATCCCTTGATTATGAAGGTAATAAGACCCTTCATTTTAGTAACTGTGAAAAATTAAGAATCTGACATTCCTAGAGGTCTTCAAGAAGAAAACAAACAACTATCATGTATTTGGGGATGATTGGTTATTGCATTATCTGAAGAATGAGATACATGATCTACTGAAGACCCACCTGTTTCTAAGAGACTGTAAAATGTATACTTCATATTAAGAAAACTATGACTCTACAGAGTTATATACTAACATCTATTAAAAGAAAAACTCATGAAATCTCCTGTGAATATTTTCAGGATATTCATATCCTGATAAATTTCAAATTTGTTACCAATATTAAAATATTTATATTCAGGGCCCTCCCTGGTGGCACAGCAGGTTAAAGCACTGCACTAAGAAGCTTAAGCCTCTTCCGCATGAGTTCGAGGTAACCACATGGCGCAGCAGACCTCTCCTGACCCGCCTGCTGCTTCGTCAATCTCTCTGTTCTGTTCCCCACTCTGTTCCTGGTGAATCCTCTCACCCTCCGCATCTCTGGCCTGTACCCCAGTTCTGTATGAATAAATAAATAAATCTTAAAAAAAAAATCTAAACTCATCATTCAAACTGAAAAGAAATCTAGATGTCATGTATGACAATAACTCACCAATACTAAGAAATGTTCAAAAGGGCATTTCATTGGTATTTCTGCTAATAATAAAATATAAGAATTTTTTCTTACCTGTCCCTAGGAAGAGCAGTCCATGCAAGACTATGTGATGTACCAGCTGAGATCTGCTGAATAGCTATGCCATCTAAGCCACTCACTTTCTTTGGTTTAGTGATAGGACCTGTGGAATTTCCTTGGCCACATTGCCCCATTGAGTTGTTGCCCCAAGCATACACTTCGTTGTCTAAAAATAAAACACAAAGAATAAAAGAAATGCCAAATTTAAATGTAATATACTTGTGGAACCTAAGAGTTAATAATGGTTCTTGTTTTTGCTTTTTTAAAACAAATGACCTTACCATGAGAAAGAGCCAAACAATGACTATCTCCAATAGAAATATCAACTATTCTTGTGGCAGCCAGTTCTTCAATAAGCTTGGGTCTCAAAGCAGTAGCTTCTGAAGAACCACAACCTAGACAAGCTCCACAGCCCCAAGCATAGACCTAGAACAAACAGAAATATACTAGACATAATATCCTAAGATTTTAGGCAGACAATATAACTTGTTTAGGAATAATATCATCTATTAAAAAAAAAAGAGTAGGGTTTGATACTAAATAATTACTTTCTGTTGTAAAAGAAACAATAGTAACTTTTTGATCATTTTAAAGATTTTAAAGATTTACAGAGATTGGTTACATGTAGATAAGTGGCTGAATTGAGAAATAACTGGTTTTAGAAAAAAATGAAGTCTTCTGAGAGATTCTGCCAAATTACTAATGACCTCTCATTATGTTATCAACAAATATTGTTGAATAACCAATGTGTGAGCATAAAAAGTGAGTTACATAGTATATTCTGACATCTGGGGGTGTCAAACTTTCATCTTTTTTGTAGAAATTGCTTTGGCTAAACAGGATCTTGTAATTCCATGTAAATTTCAGTAATACTTGCTCTATTTCTTTGTAAAGAATGTACTGAAACACTGGGCCCTCCCTGGTGGTGCAGCGGGTTAAAGAACAGCACTGAGAAGCCAAAGCCACTTCAGCATGAGTTCGATTCCCGCCTGCCCTGGAGGAGACCACATGACGTGGCAGACCTCTCCTGGTGCTGCTCCCCGCAGCAGTGTACTTCCTCGATCTGCCTGTTCTACTCCCCTCTCTGTATCTGGTGAAGCCTCTCACCGTCCCTGCACCACTGGCCTGCACCACTGGCCTGTATGCATAATAAATAAATCTAAAAAAAAAAGAATGTACTGAAACACTGATAGAGTACACTGACTTTGTGTATTATTTTGGGTAAAGTGGCTTTTTAAACAACATAAATTATTTTAAGATAAGGGATATCTTTCCATTTATTTTTGTCTTTTTCTATTTTAATAGTGTCTTACAGTTTTCATTGAGCAGATTATTTTACCTCCTTTGTTAAGTTTATCCCTAGGTATTTAACTCTTTATGATAACTCTTTGTTTTCTTGACTCCTTTCTCTTCTAGTTTATTTGATTTTGCAGCCTGCCCCTTCACCATACTGGTTTGTTCCTAAGTTACAGCAATCAAAATAACATGGTATTAGAATAAAAACTGACACATTGGGGTTGTCCCCGGTGGTACAATGGGTAAAGTGAAGCACTATGAAGCTCTCTAAAGCCACTGCAGCATAAGTTCAATCCCCAGCCAGGGAAGTGACAAACATGGTGTGGAAGACCTCTCCAGACCCACCCACTGCTCCACTCAGCAGTGTATTTCAATGGATCTGCTTGTTCTGCTCTCTACTCTGTCTCTAGTGAATCCTCTCACCCACCTCTGGCCTTACCCCAGTTCTTGTATGCATAAATAAAAAAAATCTTTTAAAAATTGGGCACAGGCCCTCCCTGGTGGCACAGCGGGTTAAAGCACAGCGGGTTAAAGCACAGCACTGAGAAGCTAAAGCTACTTCCCCAAGAGTTTGATCCCCGCCTGTCCGGGAGGTGATTCCACATGGCACAGCAGACCTCTCCTGACCCACCCGCTGCTCCCCTCAGCAGTGTACTTCGTCGATCTGCCTGTTCTGCTCCCCACTCTGTGTCTGGTGAATCCTCTCACCGCCCCTGCACCTTTGGCCTATATCCCAGCTCTGTATGCATTAGTAAATAAATCTTAAAAAAAAAAAAAAAAATCGGGCACACTGACAAATGGAATAGAATTAAAAGTCCAGAAACAAAACCACAGTTATATAATTTTATTTAATTAAATATTAATTTACAACAAAGGAGTATACAATGGAAAGTGTCTTCAACAAATACTGAGAAAACTGAACAGCCACACAAAAAAAGAACGACACTACACCATTATCTTATACCATACACAAAAGTTAGTTCAAGATTTGAATGTAAGACCTGAAAACATAAGATAACATAAAATAAAACAATGCAAAAACCACTCTGCAACATTGGGTTTAGTTATGTGTTTGGGGAGCTGACACCAATGTCATTAAAAAGTTTCTGTATAGGGCCCTACCTGGTGGCACAACGGATTAAAGCACAGCACTGAGAAGCTAAAGCCACTTTAGCATGAGTTTGATTCCTGTTCGGGAGGTGATTCACATGGCACAGCAGACCTCTCCTGACCCACCCGCTGCTCCCCTCAGCAGTATACTTCATCAGGCAGCCTGTTCTGCTCCCTACTCTGTCTCTGGTGAATCCTCTCACCAACCCTGCACCTCTGGCCTGTACCCCAACTTTGTATGCATAAAATAAATAAATGTTAAAAAAAAAAGTTTCTGGATACTGGAGAAGAAATTATCATAAAACAAAACCAAAAAACCCTACTGAATGGAAGGATTATTTGCCCATCATCACACATCTCATAAAGGGATAATATCCAGGTATACAAGAACTCATACAGCTCAATAACAACAAATCCAAGCAAAAAATGGCAGAGAAGATAAACAGACAATTCTCCAAAGAAGACATACAGATGGTCAGTTGCAAATCATAACCATAATGTAAGAATAGCCATATTAAAAAGACTATAAGCAACTAGTGTTGGTAATGGTGTAGAAAAAAAAGGAATCCTCTTACACTGGTTGGTGGAACTGTAGACTGGTCCAATCCCTATGGAATGAGTCAGTTTGGAGGTTCCTCAAAATATTAAAAATGGATATAGAATATGAATAAGCAATTCAATTCTAAGTATCTACTTGAAGGATGCAAAAACCACCAATTCCAACGGATAAATGCACTCCTGTGCTCACAGAAGCAATATTTATAATAGCCACGTTACTGAAACAACCTAAGTATCTGATGACGGATGAGTAGATTAAGAAGTGCCGTGTGTGTGTGTGTGTGTGTGTGTGTGTGTGTGTGTGTAATGGAGTACTACTCAGCTATAAAAAGAGATAATGTCTTGCCACTTGGAACAACATGGATAGAATTGGAGAGGATTATGCTAAGCAAAATAAGTCAAAAGGATAATAATGACAAAAACCTGATGATTTCACTCAAGGATAATGACAAAAACCTGATGATTTCACTCAAGGATAATAATGACAAAAACCTGATGATTTCACTCAAATAAAACAAGGTGACATACAAATTCTAGAATCTTACCACAGAACTAAGCAACCAGAGGGTAGTGGAAAAAAAGAGGGGGCTATGGCAGACAATTTTGGGTATTCTGGTGGTATGTATAATGTGACAACAGGTGCCTGAAGAGAGGTGAATCTACACCCCTCAGTTATAGCAATAAAAATATAATTCAATTTCTAAAAATTAAAAATCAAATTAGGTACTTAAATCATAAAACTAGTGTTATAATTTAGTTAAAAACTATCTCACCTCATTGTTGTAACAATTTAATTATCACTTACAAAGAGGGTCATCTGAAGCAATAGTCAAGACAGTTCTCTTTAGACATTTTTATTTTTGACAATTATCAAAATAACTACTGAGTGACTTAAGATGCTTGGGAGGGAAGAGAAGGAAGAAGATAAAAAAATGAATGACTGTCAATTTAGCGATTCCAAATCAAAATAATCAGCAAACTTGATTTTTTTCCCCTTCACTGTTTTGTGGTGTCATATAGACTTTTACCTTTATACTGTTAAGTTTAAGAGAAGGGATGTTAAGAAAAAGATGTAAATGGCAAGTTTTTAAGTCAGCAACCAGCATTATAACAACTCACTAATGTCATAAAATATATGGTGAAAGGCTTAAGTTACGTTTGTTAAGGATGTAAGGAAATCCAATCTCAAAAATAGTTAAATTACATGCTAATTTCAGTTTTGCTGTTCATCTACCTTGTCATTTTTATACTACCTTCTGACATATATTCTCTGTGGGAGAGAATGAGAGGTCAGTTAACTTTTCCACTATCAATGATGAGGGATGCAAAAGGGAAATCACTATACAGCCTAACATCAGGACCCTCTCCATCACCAACTAACAGAAAGAAGTCAGAATATAAATATAGAAGGTCAAAAGTTTATAAATGGATTGTAAAGTTCTAATTATCCTAAGCCTTAATAACCCTCTTTCTCAGAAACATCTAACCCTGTTAGATTATTTCCTAAAAAGTTTTCTCTTTATCCTCTCTTCTGATCACCTTCTTGGTACTTTGGCTCATATTACATTGATCCAGTAAAATCTATTCTTGTTTTCCCCCACTATTCATAAATTTTAGGAAAAGGTTTGGGAGGTACAGAATGCTAAGAAGTTTAATAAGATCACCTTAATGTGAAGAATGGTGTGGGAAAGAGGACAAAAGGTTTATCTGGATCATATAAAACCTGGTTCCCTCTTCAGGTATTGTATTTTTTCAAAAAGGGAAAAAAAAAAAAAAAACATTGCATTTCAGTAGACTGCCTATAAAATGAATCTTTTTTATTTAAAATTTAAATGTAATTATTACTTTTTAGTCAGGTAGTCCTCTGAAATACCCAAAGCCTTTTATGCTCATCCCTTATTCTTACCTGCCCTGTTGAGGTCAAAGCAAGTGAAGACTGACTCCCAGCACAAACTTTCCGAATGAACATTCCTTGTAAAGCTTCAATTACTTTAGGCTTATACACTCTGTTGGTATCACCATGACCAAGTTTGCCTATTAAAACAAATTCAAATTAAACAATTCATTTGTTTTAAAGAATTTCTATGCTTTTTCTAAATTATTTAACTTCATAAATATTTCTAATTTTCCATTAACCTAACAGATGTGGAAAGCTCTGTTTGCTAACAGCACAGGATGCTAATCAATGTGTCTTGTTACAAGAAAGTTAATAATCCACAGTCAATAGCCATCTATATCTTAATTTCAAACAATTAAACTACTCTGAGAGATGAAATTTTTTTTTCTCCTCTTTAACAGTTATATTTCTAACATCAAATTAATATGCAAGTCTTCCAAGAACACACACACACACACAAGACACATCTATGCTTCAAATATGCTTTATATATTTTTTAAAAGATTTAGTTTAGGAAATAGAAAATTTGGCAAATCACTAAAGAAAAACAAATGGTCAACAACATATAACTTCCAACTACGAAAAGAATTAAGGAAATACAAATTAAATTATACTATTTTCACTACTGAATTATTAAATATCTATGGTATACATAGATCTGCTTTGGTTTTATATAATACATCTACATAGAAATCTACAAACATATTTGTATGAGTGTCTGTATGTCTAGACATCTTTCTACCAAAGTTTGAACATACACATTTGCACACAACTCATTTTTTTTAAATTCCATCTACAATTGAGTTTTTCTACAAATAGGCATGTACAACTGAAAAATATCACATGTATAACAGAAAAAAGTCAAAGATAAAACCCCAAAATTTTAAACAAATAATTTTTTCATACCATTGTCTCCTCCTCCAAAAGACCACACAGTTCTTCCATCTTTAGATAGAGCAATAGTATGAGAGCTGCCACAAGAAACCTCTCCTACATTGCTAATGTCTTTTACTAACGTTGGAATGTTACGACTATTGCTATCACCGTGACCTTGAATAAAATACAGACAACAACAAAAAATAGTAAGTTTGCTCTTTTTCTTAAAGGTTTAACTTTATAAGTGAAATAAACAAACATTGCAAGTGAAAAATAGAATTGAGGCATTTTTAAAGTGCAATTAAATATGAAAAACATTTTTGATATTAAATCAACCAATATTCTAGGTTAGCCCCAAACAGAGACATCCAGTCCCTTTAATGAATATTCTATTTATGCTCCACTCACAGCACTTACCGAATATTTAGTATCATGCTCAAGTCAGCTTGTTTTCATTACCCACTGGATTATACTCTCCAGGATGACGTGATAGCATCTTTCTTTCTCTGAAATCCTTTACTGCATGCTCATAACAGGCACTCAATAAACATTGGCTAGATTTAATTATATCTTAAATTTCAGCATTAGAAACTGAGTATTCTCTCTATAAATTATCTTCCTCTGAGCTTAAAACTAACAAAATAAGTAATGTTCTTGGTCTACTAAATCTAACCTCATTCTTCCCAATACCAAACATTTCTATTTTCCTCTAAGAATAAATTCAAGCAGCCACTCCTCTGCCCACCTGTGCCTACGCAGGTGCTTCTTTCCACCCACTCTCTCTCCCTCTGCAGTGCAGCAGCCTGCTGCTTGCCCAACCTGCACCATGCTGGAACATCTCTGCACTGACCTTCCTCAGTGGAGGCCGCTCTCCTAAGGCTGCCTGCCTGCAACCATGCAGGCCTCTCTCTCTGCAAACCTGTACTTTTCGGGGCAGCTCTTCCTACCCACTTGTGCCTATTCAAGTGTCTTTTCCTCTCCTGACTCTTTCTAATAAGTTTACTCTTTAAATTAAATAAATAAATAAATTCAATATTTAAAAAAGCTTACCAAGGGCCCTCCCTGGGGCACAAGGGTTAAAGTGCAGCGCTACGAAGCTATCCACAGCCACTGCAGTACAAATTCGATCCCCAGCTAGGGAGATGATCCACAGGGCGCAGCAGACCTGTCCTGTCTTAACCACTGCTCCCCTCAGCAGTGTCTTTCAATAGATAAACCTGTACTGCTCCCTAATCTGACTCTGGTGAATCCTCTCACCTCCTGCACGTCTGGCCTGTACCCCACTTCTTGTTTGAATTAATAAATAAATCTTTAAAAATAAGAAGTAAAAAAGCTTACCTAATCTTCCAAAGTCTCCTTCACCCCATGTGTATAATTCACCATCCTCTGTGACAGCAGCACTATGTCTGTATCCAGCAGACACACAAACAACTACCTATATTACACACAAATTATATTTGATGAACACCAGATGCTAAAACACGCAGTTCATATTTGATCCTATACACAAATTTTAGAGATCCTGACACTCACAATTCATCCAGGAATTGCCAGGTATAGTTACAGAGGTTGGGATTAGCACTAGACTACCTGGCAAAAGGGTCAGTAAGTACTGAAATACAGCCTATGTTCTATACTAAGCTATGAACACTGGTTTCCAACCTTTTCTTAATTTACCAAAAACATTGTAGAAGCTAGCAGATTCCCTGAATGCATCAATCTAAACACTTGCAAGAATATCACCAAACCTTTCCTCAAAGAATTGGAAGGGGCTGAAACAAATCTAATAAATACAATTCATGAAACAAATACAATTTTAAAAATATAATGTAACATTAAAGTCCTATCATGGCTTATCAAGAAAAACTCATATCACTCTCAAAAGACAATGACTATTCCTACTACAGAAAAATCTAAGCAGTAGATAAGTGTACTATATTAAACTCTTGGCAGTATCTCTTTACTCTCAAATAGCTACACAGAGCAGAATCAGGGGAATAAAGATATACAGCAACACTTGGGGATCACCAACACTTTTAAAACTGTTCAAAATCACTGACCACTGAACTACATACAGAAAAAATACCTATACAAATAACTCTACATCTTTTTAATCTTCAAAACTTAGAACACATCTTAGAAAATTCAAATTTTAGATTAAATTGAAAATAACATCTAATACATTCTAGATATTTTGTTAAGTTATGACATTTCTGTTAATTATTAATTTACTTTTGGGGACTTTTTTTTCCTTTGTAACACAGACACTAAGTTTTTTATTTTTAACTGGTAGTGCTTCCATTACAAAGTAGAACACTACAAGGAAAAAAGAACATTAAAAATAATTAGGATTAAAGAAGAAAAAAAGTATGAAAAAGACTAGGAAAATACAACTATAAATATTTATCTGAAGCTCCTTAAAGCCCCATCTCCAACATCTTATCAAATATCCCCAGATGTTGTTCAGTGAAATGTTCCAAGCCTCCCTACTTTGTTTTGGAGTTGTTGTCTAAGCTAAAATACTGAAAGCTACAATAAAGTGAAATTCATTTGGGAGCCATAAAGAAAAAGTGTCCCATTTGTAATGGCAGTAAAAAATTAAAATCTTTAATTTTAAAAATTTTATATAAGAAAACTTTCATGGAGAGTGGAGGAACCCGTATTGTTGCATATAGTTATAAGTTTATTAAAATACTCTCACTCTTAAAAGTAAAACAGAAATAAAAAGACCTAGATTCAGTTCGTAGTGCTGCTAGTTATTTCTATGTAACTTTGGGTAAGTTCCTTAACCACCTAAATACTTCACTTAGGTTTCTGTTAAAATGGTAACTCCTCCAAAAGAACATTCTGATCTCATTATCTAATACAGCACCCCACTCAAGTTAATCTCCATTGCATTACTCAATTTTTTATCTTTGCTATTGTTTGAAATTATTTTGTGTTTGTTTACTCTATACCATAGATTAGGAGCCATGAGAACAAGCATCTTGGCTGTTTTGCTTACTGCTTTATGTCTAATGCCTAAAATACTGCTTAAATAAATATTTAATGAATCAATGATTCTCAATTTCATTATCTGAGAAATGAGGATGTTATAAGAATGAAAATTAAACAATCTGTGTGAAGCTGTTTTGTAAACTATAAGTATTTATATTTATAAATACTATAAATATAAAAGATAAGCCAAAGATCTATAGGGTGGGGAGGAGGGACTCAATTTCAGAAAGCATACATCAATTATAGAACTAGTGCATATAATTGTTTTTAAATCAAAAAGAAAGAACGTACCTTTCCCTGCAGAGGACCCTGAATAAGCTTGGGATATTTCTGTGTTGAACTATTTCCATGTCCCAATTTTCCATAATCACCATCTCCCCAACTAAAGACTTCTCCTTCTGTTGTAAAAGCTAAAGTGTGACCATCAGATCCTTTAGAAGATGAAACCTTCTTAATGGACCTATGAGGTTCAAATGTTAACTTTTTTAAAGTAGACTGATTGTTAGAATCTCCAAGGCCCAGTCTACCATAGCTGCCTTTACCACAAGCTCTTACAGAGCCATCTGTAGAAATGACAAAAGTGCAGTATTGTCCAGCTTCAATCTATAAGCAAACAGACAAAATCATAAATATAAAATACTTCTGTGAGAATCAAAGTATAATTATCAAGGTTGGTTTTATCAAAGAAGCTCAAAAGATGTCTTTTAAAGGAAAATATGGCATAACAGCCATACAAGTTAAAAATTAGGTAACTATGAAAGCTTTATGGACTTTTCATGTTGTCTTGATATCTTTTCAGGTTATCTACCCAGCCATGATTCAATGAAACAGTGCAGTAAAATATTTTATCCTTCTTTTTTAATTGGCGATGGGGAAGAACTAAAGTTTCTTATTAATTCTTAATGTCCATTATGGCATGAACCATACGAAATATATCCTAAACTCATCTTAAAAGAAAAACATGATTTAATAAAAATAATACACAGTTCTAGTTCTGCCAATTTAGCTACACATGTTTTTTAAAAAAATCATGAACCAAAATGCCAATCTGACAAAGGGGAAAATTCCAATATTTATTTAGTCTTACTTAACATTTGTGCTTAATATATATTATATATATATATAATGTGCTTAATATATTATATTTATATATATATATTTATAATTACATTAATTATAAATGTTGCCATTTATAATTCACTTTAAAAACCCTTTATATTTTGAAACTTGGAAACACTGCTGTTAATAATGAAGACGAAAAATAATTTTCTATTAATATTTATATTTAATATTAACATTCTGATAAGAGTATGTAAGAAGCAATATACCATAAAATCTAAGAAAAAAGAACCTAAAAAATTTAAATAACACTTAACTTTACTTAAAGCAAATTCTGTCAACTACTTCTTTAAAAAGTAAGCAGG